TTTCTCGCAGGTCATTATGACAAATTAGCTTTTATCCATTGATAAAATAACAAGATATGAAGCTCGAAGTGAATTTTTACATGTGATCTGAGGGTGGGGAAGCATTAATTAGAGTGCCTCCTTAATTAAAGTGCCTGCAGCATTGTGTGTATCAACATCCCCATGCTTCAAAAGGGTGGTGGGGCGCTATAAAGAAAGTTCATTCTGAAGTGCAGGGATACAGATACACAAGATGTGGAGGCTGGCTGGAGCAGTGTCATTGAGCGGGTCTCCAGGGATTCCCGTGATACCCCTGGTGGCTCCACGACCATGCAAGTTCTGCCCTGAGGGCACCCTTGTAGCCTTCCTGTCATGTCTTTGTTAGAAAAGTAACTCTGAAGGCTGCCTATGGGCCTTTGCTTAGTCTCTATTCACTGAACTTTACTCAAGCTCCCCGATCTGTGGGCCCTTTGCCAGGCCTCTCTTCAATATGGTGCCACAGAGAGCACCTCAGGCCTTATGGGCCAATTACGTGGCTCCAAATTTCCCTTTAACATGCCCCATGCCTTGTGCATATTACATCTTTGTTATGTTCTCTGTTGGGGCCTTGGCCTCTGCCCCTTTGATAAAGGTAGGCCTTCTAGCCTAGTCCCACTGTGTCGGGTCCAGCTTTGAGGCACTAGCCCACAATTTCCTTATTACCAGGCCTGTGGCCCTTGACTACTGTGCCCCTCTGGCTTCGGGCTCTCCAGCCCCTGTCACTGAACCCCTCTGGTGCTGGGCTCTCTGGGCCCTTGCAGCTTGCACCCCTCTGGTGCTGGGGCATTATACAATCATGTGCCCCAATGAGGCCTCCCCCTCTCCTATTAGCCTCATCCCAGTCTACCAGATCGAATCATAAGCCCAGAACCTAAGCCCCTGGGCTATAACATATACTAACAATAAAGGCAGCATTCAGCCCCTTTAAAATGGCAAACTCCCACCCTTAGGATATTGTACCCCTTACCCCTAGGTACTTTAGAAGCTCCTAATGTCTTGCTGCATCTGAAGACAGCCAAGCAGGCAGCTCTCTGGTACAGGAGCTCTTTCTCCTGGCAGTGGCCAGAAAGAATGAGCTCAGTCAGCCCCTGCCCTGGGCTTATGTGCTCCCTAGATTCTGACTCCTTCCAGTCATCTGACCACCTGCAGGTGCCAGCTAATTACCTTGTTAGCCTGTTGCTTGGGCAACCTGTAGCTGTGGAGCTCTGCATAGATTTCCAGACTCCTTTGCTAGGCTGTTTCTGCCCTTAAAGGTGCAGGCATGCTTTAGTGCTCTGCAACACACTTATTAGTATGCTCCAGAAGATTTGATTAATTGAGTAATTACAGCATGTTGGAGCAGCCTCCCTGCATGTGTACAGGCATCCATGGGTTCTAGGACAATCAGGGGAATTCTTGTAAAGCTAAATAATATCACTTGACCATGGTGTGTTAGTAAAAGTTTGGCAAGCAGCACTATTGCAAAGGTAAATAAGAGAGGGCAACACCTCTAGAGGCATGGGGGTGAGGGAGGAATGTGAGGACAGCAGCCATGGATGGTACAGGTGAGTTCTGCTGAGCTGTACAGAAGGAGTCAGGCCTTACTCCTTCCAGCTACATTTGGGTCAATTTACATAACTGCCCACCCCTCTGGAAGGATTATGGAGGAGCAGTCACTATGCTACTCAAAGAACAAAAGCAAAAGTGCCTTTAGTCTGCATGCAGGGAGCATGACTGAGGTTGAAATCTTTTTCAGTCTTTCCCTCCTGTACACATCACCTACTGCTGGTGACAATTTACTTCTTGCTGTGAACACAGACATCTTCTCACTGAACTCGAAGAGAATTTGGCCACTGACCAGAAATCGATTTATATATAATGTTTTAATGCTTACAGTGCTTCAAAGCATTTTGTGACATAATACAGATGGTGTAGTGATCATATAGAAAAGCATGCCAGTCAGAAAGCATTTGCCAATAGCATGCAAAGTTTAGAACATTCAAACCTGTTCTAATGAGATAGAACAAAAGTTATTACACTGACTTCCTGGGAAGGAAGATTTTTAATTTGCTAATAAATAAATACAATTTCTGAAGTGTGAGAATTGGCTTTTGTAATTAATTTGAACTAAACAAACACATTC